ATGTATCAAATCTGTTCTTCAGATGATCTCTAAATTCAGGTGGGATATATTCAAGGTCATATTTTGGCTCTCATGGACTTGTTTTCATTTTCTTCATCTTCAGTTTGAATTTCCATATGAATAATTGAGGGTCTGTTCCACAGTCTGCCCTTGGCCTTGTTTTCTATCGTCTCTTTCTGCAGATGTAGTCCATTTGGTTTCTATGTATTCCATCTGGTGCAGTCCATATGTATAGTTGTCTCTTATGCTGTCTAAAGAAAGTATTTGAAATGACCAAGTCATTGGTTTTGCAGAATTCTATCACACGTTCTCCAGTATCATTTATATCACCAAAGCCATATTTTCCAGCTACTGATCCTTCCTCTTTGCTCCCAACTTTTGCATTCCAATCACCAGTGATGATGAATACATCTTGATTGTATGTTCAGTCGATTTCAGATTGAAGAATTTGGTAGAATTCTTTTATTTCATTCTCACTGACTTTAGTGGTTGGTGCGTAAGTTTGAATAACAGTGGTATTAACAAGGCTTCTTTGTAGGTGCATGAATATTATCCTATCACAGAGAGCATTGTACCTCATGACTGATCTGGATATGTTCTTTTTGACGATGAATGCAATACCATTCCTCTTCGATTTGTCATTCCTGGCATAGTAAATCATGTGGTTGTCAGATTCAAAATGGTCAATACCAGTCCATTTCAGCTTACTAATGCCTAAAATATTGATGTTTATGTGTTACATTTCATTTTTGACAACTTCCAATTTTCCTAGATTCATACTTCATACATTCTTGTTCCAATTTTCAACAGCTGCTTCTCTTCATTTTGTGTTGTGCCCTATCAGCAAATGAAGGTCCTGCATATGGGCTTTTCTCCCACAGGCTTTACTCCATTCATGTCATCATCATGGTCAACTCTACTTTAAGGAGGCATCTCTTCTCCAGCCATATTTTGAGCACCTTCCAACCTGAGGAGCTCAATTCCCGGCACTATATCTGACAGTGTTTCTCTGTCTTCTTAAGGTTTTCAGTTACTAAATATTCCGAAGTAGTTTGTCACTCCTTCTTCCTAGTCTGTCTTCATCTGGAAGCTCATCTGAAACTTGTCCACCATGGGTGACCCTGCTGGTATTTAAATTACTGGTGGCATAGTTTTCAGAATCACAGCAACCCACAGTATGGCAAACTGACAGATGAGTGGTAGTGGGAGATGGTAGTTAGTATCATTAATAATGACTCCATGTCAAGTTATTTATTCACACATAAGAATGTCCAACTCAACAGCACTTAACAACAACAACAGCAAGAAGAAGAATAAAGGAGACGTGTCTTGCTGCTTTGTTGAATTTGTGTTTTATTCTCCAGACTTGCCTGAGTTAAAAAGAACCTTTGTGAGTTACAGCTGCTTGGGTGGGAGGTGGGGAAGGGGACGAAAATCATTGTCCCCAAACCCCAATTTCAAATCTGTGTCTTCTCAGGCTTCATGGTATGCACAAAAACATTTCTGCTGGCATAGCAAGATTTGTCTACTTGTCCAGAAGTTTTAGTTCAGATATTAAAGCAAACTAAAAAACCAAAGCACTGCCTTCAAGTCTTTTCTGATTCATAGCAACCTTATTGGACAGGGTTGAACTGTACCATACAGTGTAAATCTGAGTTCTGGTATGGCACTGAAAGATATTCACTAAACTGTTACCTGCTAGGTTAGTGGTTCAAACCAACCATCAACTCCTTGGAAACAATATATAGAGTCGCTGTGAATCAGAACCAGCTCGACAACACCTAGCATCAACAGATTTTTATGGAAGTGTCTTTCTCTCATGGAGGTATTGGTAGGTTCTACTTGGTAATCTTTTGGTTTGCACACAAAGGCTTTAAGCACAGCATCACCAGGGCTCCTTACATTAAACAGAACCTCTTAAATAGGCAAGTTTGCATGCTGACACATTCTATATATATTATTCTTACATGACCTTATATGAAAGATATTTTATTTCTTTCTCTTTCTCCCCCTTTGCTCTTTGCTTCCTACAAAATCTTTGAGCTTGTGTTTGTTCAGGAAATATCTCCTAGTTTTTGCTAGGAGATGGGCTTCCACCTATGAATCTTTTGAAACCAAATAAACTCTGTAAAGTTAACCTTGTCAAAATGTATGCTTTTAACAGTTAAATTGTAATTTTACTATAATGTCTTATTTTTGCAGTGAAATTAGAGCGATATTTTCATCTCCTGGTTGTCTGACTGCAAGTTTTTTAAAGAAAAGGTAAAACGACATGAGATTTACTTTCACTTAAAACTCTATAAAGTTATAACAATGTTATAATAGGACTATAACATCACCGCAGAGAAAATAAATTGTTGCCTACTCTCTCTTTTTAAAGTTTTTATTGTGACTTATGTGATAGTTTACATGGGAGAACATTGTCTTTACATTCATCCTATCTTATTTCATTTCATTGCAATAATTACAATCCCCTACATGCATCTTCAAACAACCAAAGGGTACACCCCACATGCCTGCCCCCCAGCTGTCAGCACACAGCCCCTCGTCCTCCCTGAGTCTAGAGTCCCCAGCCGCTCCATCTCTCCATGTCATTGTCTCTGCCTCTTGCCTTTTAACAAGATAATCATAAAATGTGCCATTTGTATGTGTGCCCAGCAAATTGATAATTTTGAAAGGAGGCAAGTTTTAAGAAAAACATATTATATATGAAATGTAATATGATAAAGCAGTAAGTAGTGAAATGTGAACTTAGGAAATATCCCTTTCTATCAATTTATGTGGTTTTTTTTTTTGTGTGTGTGTGTGTGTGTGTTTCCCCACTTCTTATGCCCAAAGAGGAACTGGAGAAACTGCTACCATTGGTGTGGATTTAAAGATGGCAAGAGATACCTTCAGGAAGTTAATAAAGGAAGAATGGATTTCTTTCCTGGTAACAGTCACTACAAACAGCAATAGAATGTCCCTCAGTTTAACTGTGTAGGGAGCTGAGTAAAAAGGGCTTATGATTGTGACTAAGATGACTGCCCAATACAGGGGGACTTTAAAAAGTTCATGGAAAAACAGAATGGAAAGACAATGGATTTTTTCCACAGACTTTTTGTAGCCCCCTTGTATTTGTTATAAGATGATTATATTCCAGACATTATATTAGACGATGGCATTAATTTTTTTCCCATGGTATCCACAAATGGACAGTAGATATTAAGCTTTCATTTTCAACACAACAAAACCAATGCTCAAGAGTTTAACAGCCTCTAGCATGCCATATGAAAGCAGCATTGGTCTGGGGACATCCATCCTGATCATATCCTTGTCAAAAAGAAAATATTCACTGTATTAAATTTGCATGTGAACTCAGAAGCTTTATTTTTCAATTCATGCATCAGTGAACATCTGGTTGGGAGTCAGACAAGAATTCCAGAGCTCAGCATAATAATGAAGGATTTTTGTAAGCACAGACACATAAGAACAAGGAAGCTATATTGGGCAAATTTCAGATCGGTTAGTGGCATTTTCATTCCTTATTTGGGATTAAAGGGGACTTTTGAACTGGGTTAAACTAAGTAAGCAAGTTCTAATTGGTTAGCTTAGGTTTCTGTTTCCAGGAGAGCTAATTGACTTGGGTTTCAGCTATGGCAATGCACTGATCAGAAATAGAAACTTAGGTTTCAATGAGCCTTGGTGGAACAAAGGTCCATTGTAGTTCTAATTAACCAGCCATGCCGTAGGAGAAAGATGAGGCAGTCAGCTTCTGTAAAGATTTACAGCCTCAGAAACTCTAGGGAGAAGTTCTACTCTGTCTTATGGAGTCGCTATGAGTTAAGACTTGACGGCAGTGGGTTTGAGTTAGGTTTCAGTTTGCTGAGTTGGGACTCAGCACAGGTTACTCCATCTTGGGCCTACTTTAGTCAAATTAACATCCTGAATTGGGAGACTGAACAGCCTGTTCTCAACTCAAGCTCTCCTATTGATTTATCCCTTATCCTGTTTAAGTCACATGTGTTTACCTTAAGCACGTAGGTCAGAAGTATTGCTACTAGGGTTTCAGTTCATACACACATGGGTTTATTCCAAACAAAATGTGTTTAAATATGCCTCTATGATCATGGATGGCTGCAGACAAGTTCTCTCAGCTGTACACTTGTCTTAGACTCATTAGGGTATCAGAAAAGACAAAAGGTTAATCAAAACAGTGACTTCTGAGGGGATCTGTTGAGCCAGTTAGATTCAGGGCAGAGAAGTCAGTTTAGAAGGTTGGCAACATTTTCTTTGTTTAGGATTCCAAAGGCGTCATCTTAAAAGATTTTCTCTAAGGATGTAGGACAATCACTGGGCCTTGTAATGAAGTTTTAAGAAAATTGAAAACTGTTTTGGTGATAAAAAAGACCAGAAAATTTGTGAGCAGGATTTTTTTTCTGTCACAGAAATGTACCTGCTCATTCAAGGTTAGCAAGGGCTGTCCTATGAGATTTTCATTTGCCCTATCTGACTTACAAGTCTGAGCTTGCCCCTTGGGCCTTCTTTTTCTTTCCCAAACTCAAACAGTTAAAAGAAACACAAAAATAGTTCCTAGAGGCTGCCAAAACTGTTATTTCAACATAGTGTAAATCAAAGAGACCAGACTTCTTCAGGAAAGGAATAGAGAGATAGAAACATAACCTTCAGGAAGAGTAAGAGAGAGACACAGATCTCCTTTAAAAAGGAGAAACAGAGGTGTAACCTGTGTAAATTATTGCTATTGGACGGTTTTGTATTAGTTCTGAATCTATTATTCTCTCTGTATGCCCAGGCCCACGTGGTTTCATTTATTTTTTTTTTTTATATGTGCTGATAAACAAGTAAAACACTGGAGGTCGCTGTCACACTAGGGGCATTGTGAGGCATTAAAACAGATTTCAGAAAGATCAAGTGATTATTCCAATTAGAACGTGGTGGGAAACATAACTTGTGTCTCAGATACAGTTTATAATATATCCTGTGCTTTTATCCTATTTTAACCACAGATAACCACAAGTCTCAGGGATAATCTGCTCAGAAATCTTCCATTGTGTTCTCCCCACCAAGAGGCTTTAGAAGTTTTCCTCCTTCTCCCAGAATGCCCTGCTATGCAGAATCATAACAACTGGGCAAGCCTAGTGGTTCCATTTGCAGAAGCTGTTTGTAAAATGAGAGACCAATCTTTACGGGTCCTGAGTAAGTTTGGTTTTATTTTATGGTCACCTTATCTGTACATCTAGGGTTGCCATGAGTTGGAATTAATTTGATGGCAATGGCTTGGTTTTTCATTTGTACCTTCAGTGTAAACTCACTGTCTGAAGCAGAAGCTATAACAAATTTTGGATAAAAGGTTCAAATAGTTGAGTATCTGATCTATGAATGATTGAAATGATTAACCTAAAACTATTAAAATCATTACTTTTATAAAAAGCAAGTACAATTCTTAGAGTTGAACATAGTTTTGACATCAGAATTTGGTAATTTATGGAGTATGCGGTCTAGATAAATCGTACCATAAAACCTTTTGCCTATGTTATTTTGAAACTTTAGATACATATATATTTTTAAAGATTTTATTGTGAATTGAGTGATAGTTTACAAGGTAGAAAATTGGTTTTGCACTCATCCTATCATGTTTTATTTCAGTGCAATGATTACAGCCCCTTCCATGCATCATCATTCAACAGTATTTGCTTCTATTACTTCTTTTTGTTTTGTTTTGCTTTGATGTACTCAAAAACATTCAGGAATATATAATCATTTAAACAACCAAAGGGTACATTCTACAAGCCAGCCTCCTAGCTGCCAGCACATTGCCTTTTTCTTTCCATGAGTCTAGAGTCCTCAGCTGCTCTGTCTGTCCATGCCATCACTTCTGTCTCCATCTCTGGTGTCACTGCTTCTCTGATTAGGGTCCCATGTTCTGCTCATACTCTTCTCTCTTGATGGTTTTAAGGTCCTCTGTTCCTGGAATGTAAGATTAATTATCCCCCACTTTATTTTACAAAACTTCTGCCTTTACAATTGTGACCATTGCAATTAGTCATGATAACAATTACTATTTAATCAAAAGAATTCTATCCCCATTTCCTTTCAAAACTTTAGAAATTTTGACTAAAAGATGATGATAAACCAATGTTTTCACTCACCCACTCTCTCTGTTGTTTTTGTTAAGTACTGTTGAGTTGGTTCCAACTCTTATCAACCCTGTATAGGATTTTTGAGGAGTGGCTGGTGAATTTGAACCACTGAACTTGTTGTTCAAATTGGCCTTGCAGTCCAGTGCATTAACCCACAGCACCACTTATAAGATAATGGAATTTTACCACAAACTTTTTGAAGTCCCCTGTATGTGTGTAGTTAGAGCCATACACACAAGGGTGCTTCAAAAAATTTGTGGTAAAATTCCATTATTCCATAAGGAATTCCATATGATATAGCACTGTAGGATAATCACTGGACCACAAGGTCAGTCGACCTCAAGATTGGCTGTTCAAATCCACCAACCACTCTTCAGAAACCCTATCCACAGTTGTTATGAGTCAGAACCAACTCGATGGCACTTAACAACAACATATATATATATATATATATAGAGAGAGAGAGAGAGAGAGAGAGATTTAATATATTCTTTCTTTTTTTAAATGGTAACATACCATTCCCATTTTTTGACAACTTGTGTTTTCCCAATTACCGTTATAATGGAGATCATTCCATTATAGGACCTATAGAACTGCCTTTTCTGTTTAATGTCTGAATAGTGTTCCATTGGAATTATATACTATAATTTATGCTTAACCAATCTTTTATTGGAATCCTGGTGTGGTACTGTATGCTAAGCACTGGACTACTAAACACAAGATTGCAGTTCAGACCCACCAGCTACTCCTCAGAAATCCTATGCAGGGTCTCTATGAATTTGAATAACTAAACAGCACTCAACAACAACAATCCTTTATTAATAGAGCATTGTTTCCTATCTTTTGCTATTATAACTGCCAAAATGCATTTTTTTGTAGACATAAATTTACACATGCAGAAAAAAATTCAGAAAGCAAAATTTATGGGTCAAATTACATGTGCATCTTATATTTTAATATAATTTATTAAATGACTCTTTGTAGAAGTCACAACCATGTGTCACCCAACTCCAAGAAGATGTCATTTACATTGTAGTCTATGTAAACTGCACGTGGATATTAGGCAAAATGGAGTACTGGTGTGCTGCTGTGGGATAAAGCATTGGACCACAAGGTCAGTTTTAACCATAAGGTTGGCGGTTCAAACTCACCAGCCACTCCTTGGAAGCTCTATATAGAGTCGCTATGAGTTGGAATCAACTTTATAGCACGTAACAACAACATTAGGCAGCATAGTAACCCTGAGAGAGGATGTACCAATTTACACATTGAAAATATGAGAGCATTATCCCACATACTTTCAACACAGTACTATTAAACTTTAATCTTTGTCATTCTGGAAATAAAAGCAAACAACTCTTATTTCTAATTTGCATTTCATGTATTCTGAATAAGTTTGTGCTGGTTTTCTTATATTCCAGATCCTTTTTTTTTTTTTTTTTTATGTTTT